AACCCCTAGAAGTTCAGGAGCAGTAATAGCCTCAAGTGATGGTTGTACCACATGTTCTGAAAAGGTTCTCTTTAAAGTAAGCCTTCAAGAGAAAAAACATGGAGGCTGTTAGTGTGACCTGCCTTGTAGCTTCAATACTTTGAGTCACCAACCTAAAACAAATATGCAGATAAGCTGGTGTTCTGACATTCTTGATCTACATACTGTACTTATGGGTCGGAGCCAGAGGGTCAATAACCACCAGTTTTCAGAGACAGGTTTGCAATGGCAGCCTCCATATTTTTCTAATGATGGGTACAGCAAAAATACTGAATATGATTAACTGTATGAAAGTAACATGTGTAAAGGTAGTATTGTGTGTGTGTATATATATATATATATATATATATATATATATATTTTCTTTTCTATTTTTGTGTACCCTTAGATTTTTCTTCCCATTTCTTTAAGACTGAGCAATCAAACCAAAACAACAGGGGTATAGACAAACTATAGTTCTGCCAGAAGTGTTGGAGCAGTTGCAGCAAGTTTTTTTTTTTTTTTTTGTTAAAGACTAAAACCAGGTGAATAGAAGGAGAGTCTTTCCCTGGGCACATACCCACATTTATAGCTGTCAGTTTGACAGCAGACATCTCTGTTTCACAGAACTGCTGTCAACAGGTGCTCTGAGTCCTATTTGTTCAAATGTAAACAAATCTTTATATATTGTATTAACAGCACCTTTAAAAAACAATTAAGTTTGTATTTTTATATTGGGGTTTCTGAAGCAAACATGGAAGTTGATTTAAAAAAACAGTATATTTTTATATAAAAAATCTTCACCCTGCTTACCCTTGCTCCAGGTAACTGCTGCCCCCTTTTCCCCACATGCTGTCCTCTACTTTGTAAATGCTACAGAAATGAAAAGTAGAGCTGTTGCAAACTGAGACAAATTTGACTATAGACGGACCTGCTGTTTCTTTTTTCCTCACTACCTCTGCCATTTGAGCTCCATTATGTATTTTCAGTAAATAAGGAAATGAATGGGAAGGATAGGGATTTGAGAGTGACACAATTATTGTAGTGAGAGACAGCAGTGACATAAACAATCTCATGAAAGATGTCTTCCAGAGAGAGAGAGATCTAAGAAACCATCTAATAATTTATTGAAATGTATCCAAAACTAATTAGGGCAATGTAACCCTGTAAGAATGATCATCTTGAGAGAAATATGGAGGCTGTCATTGCTGACTTCTTTTTCAGAAAATGCCTGTCAATGACTCAGAAAATACTTAAAGTGATTGTAAATAAACTCATTGCCCGCTATTGGATTACCTCTCACATTCCAAATAAAAATCAATGGATGGTACAGGTAAATAATATGCTTATATGAGAAAAATTAACATATCAGCATAGAAATGTTCCTTGCAAATTTTACAGTATGTGGCAACCATGGCTGAAGGTTCCTGGCCTAGTACATCAGCTGGTAATGAACAGGCTTCTTCAGGGCTAACATGTTATTCAGGACTTTGCATCTCCCAAGGGTGTTATATTTGAGGTTTCATTTTTTCTATACTTTGTATGGTGTATATTTTTGTTTCTCTCTCCTCTGTTGCATTTCAGCTTTTTTGATTATACATTTGGCAAATTACACCAATTTTCCTTTTACTGGCTTATTTTGTGTGCCGATTAAGGGGTTGATTTACTAAAGGCAGACAGACTGTATACTTTGCAAAGTGCAGTTGCTCCAGAGCTTAGTAAATGAGCATCATCCAATCATGTGCAAGCAAAAATGCTGTTTTTTAATTTCCTTGCATGCGATTGGGTATTCTTTGCAAAGTGGAGCTTTACCTCATTTACTAAGGGCTGGAGCAACTGCACTTTGCAAAGAGCACAGTCTAATTGTCTTTAGTAAATGAACCCCTAAGTCTTTGATGCAAGACTGTAGCTTTGTGCTCTGCCATTATGAGTGTTATACAGCATGTACCTGTAATATTGTCCTCAGATGGAGAAAAGTGCCTTTACTGCAATTTGTAATATTGCTGAGCTGTAACTCTTAATCTTTCTTTATCTACAATAAACTTTTCTTTTCTGATTTAAAAAAAAGTGATTGTAAATGCTATTTTAAAAAAAAAGAAATAAACAGGTTTATACTTACCTGCTCTGTACAATGGAATTGCACAGAGCGGCCCCGAACCTCCTGTTCTTGGGTCCCCTACCGGCGCTCCATTCTCCTCCCCTACACTGAGTGCCCCCATAGAAAACACTTGTGCAAGCTCCCTGCTGAGCCTTGACACTGCCCATTAACACAAACAGTGGGACTTGGCCCCGCCCCCTTATCAATGGCTTTGACTTGACAGCAGTGGGAGCCAATGGCTCCCACTGCTTCAGCAAAACCCAAGGGAGCCGGAAGTGAGGGGAGAGAGCAACTATACATGGACACATCGCTGGATCGAATGAGGGCTCAGGTAACTAAAAGGGAACACTGCTCCCTTTTTTACATTAATGCAAGAAATATTTAGGCTTTATAGCGACTTTAAGCCAGTGGGGTCAGTATAACAGCCAAGCAGCTAGTATTTCCAGAAGGAGGTCAGCAAACGCAAGTCTTGCATTTCTCCCATGCCATGTTTAGTGTAATAAAATGTAATCTGTGTCATAGTTTGTATTAAGAAGCTACTGTATTAACCACCTAAAACGAAATATTTGAATTCTGGGTAGATGCCAATGTGTTCTGATACTGTATATCCTGTTTTTCAAACCTCTTCAGTTGAAAGAATGGCACTGTAACATCATTCACTCCAATCAGTCCAAGGCACCATCACACCTTGGAACTTTCCCAGGGTGGGCTTGTGGAGTAGGGAGAGGTGGTGATGGAGTACAGAACACTGTGGGAAGACACTATCACATGGCCCTGAATGAGTATAACCTGACAAACAACAAAATAACTGCAACAAGTTACAATTATCACTAAAAATATTAGATATCAGGAATAAAATATATAATGCCCGTGTTTCTTCTCCCCTCTACAGTTTTACAGATGTCTGCACACACAATGTCCATATAATAGAAAATAAAGACCAAAATGTAACAATTACAATTTATAATAAAATCTATATTAGTTCTAATTCACATAGCAGCAAATGAAACTAATTTTCATAAAACAGAACACTGATAATATGACACTTGCAATAAAAATCTTTAGTTGTTAAAATATACAAAATAGTTGTACCATTTAAGGTTACTGTAACAAAAGGAAAAAATATTCTTTAAATAGATGCAAAACATATTTATTGACCTGTCCTATAATAACTTAGCATACAGCCAAAAATTTGCATTAGCCACATTGTAACATACACTGTGTACACAATCTATATCAAAATATCTTAATAAATTATTCAATGATGTATATACACAATTTACATCAAGCACTTTTTATTTCTGTCAGTGTCCAAATGCAACATTTATTATTCTAAAATTTAATTAAAATCAGATATTTGAGCTGTTGTATACTTAAAAAGAAACATGGGCTTAACATAACACACAAACTTTAAGCAATACACTTGTTGCCCTTTTTGTCGATTTTTAATTTTCAGGGACAGACTGACACTTTGTACTGGGAGATTTTTTTTTTTTCAGCAACCATGCCATAATAAAAGCATCCTATACAGAGAATCTTCGGAGCTTTTGGACCTACTGAATGGTTGAAGGCTGTCTAGCCTCTCTGGTCCTATTGGCAGTTCCCTTCTGTGCCTAAGGGCACCCTTCTTGGCTTCGCTTTTTCTTTCTTGCTCGTTTTTTTTTTCTTCCCCTCTTTTTTTTTTTTTTTCTTTTCTCTCCCCCCCCCCCCTTTTTTTTTTCCTTTTTGTGGTTTTGTCCATGGTGGGTCTTTGGTTAGTTTGGTACTGTTACATCTGGCATATAAGCTTACCGCGATGGAGATATGGGATTCTGACACTGTCTATTGACTGTCTCTATTGCTCCTGGTCATGATTACATGGATAGCTTTCTGGCACTGGTCACTGTATACCTGTTCAAGCTCCCATACTCTGGATCATTGATCGTTTGTAGCAACCTCGCTGGCCCCTTGGAAATGTTTTCTGTTTTGGAATATTGCGGTATTTCCTTTAAGTGATATTGTTTTTTTTCTTTTTATTTTGTCCTTGCCCCAGACTGTCGGAGCATATGTCTTGTGTTTTGACATTCTGTATGCTAAACTTCTAATTTTTCAATAAAATTAGATTGAACATAAAAGCATCCTAAACAAATATACTTTCAAAATAGGGAGTCAATGCTAACTTTTCCCGCTGCCTGAAAGCGGTTCTGTTCAAAAGAAATCCTTCTCTGAAATTTACAGGACACACAACACTCTGGAAGAAGTGTTGATCTCCTAGGTTCCCCACAGCTCTCACTGGTTTCTCCTGCTAACCTCCATGTCACTACCATATGCTGTAGAGAGTAGAGATCAACAGGAAGAACCAGTGAGAGCTGTGGGGAACCCAGGAGATCGTCACTACTGGAGTTGTCAGTTTCCCTGCAGGCATAAGAGGAAGATTCCAGCTGAAGGGGCTGAATTTTGGCAGTGTGGAAACATAAGTATTCTTGATCTTATTTTGCAGGTACATATGTTTAAGATACTTAATCATAACAGAGTCGCTTTAAATGGTAATCGTTGTTGTTCAATTCATAAGCATATAATTGCAAAATGGAATACTGTTCAGATACTAAAATCAACCCCATTTCTGCTTTCAGAGGTTTAAAATTATCAGGAAAATAAAAGATTGTCTGATTGCTTGCTTAAAGTTACTGCATTTAGCACAAAGGTAATGACCTTTTATTAAATAAAACCCATAGCGCAGGGAAACTTTTAAATATACAGCAAATACCATTAGGCACAGAAGTCATATTTACCAATGCTTCAGCTGTATAGCCCATGAAAAAGAGCAATAAATTCCCAGACAGTAAACGTGTTCATTTTACAAAGTGTACACAGCAAAAATGTGTTAAACATATATATGGTTTTGTTATGTTTTACACATTAAAACCTCTGCAAAAGGTCCAAGGAGAGTTTTATTGAAGATGCAGCGGATCCACACTAAATATGTTGTAGATGGTTTAATGTTTTCAGAGAAAGTGTGGTTCTGATAAGATAATATATAAGGCATGTATGTGTTTTCACCTTGCTCTTGGATCCATACTTCATATTTTACATCTCTGACTTTCAAGTACTTGAGATTCCATGGAATCTGCCAAGACACGGACAGCTTCGTTACGCTGGCACCTGAGGAAGAAGCCTGACACTTGCATTCCCTAACCTTACCAGGATACAATCCATTTGCAAACTTCTGTTTCCGGGAGACAGGCTTTGTTTTAACAACACCTCTTATGACTTTGATAAGTGATGAAACATCTACTTTTGTGTCCTGGTAGATACGGAAAAGCCACTCTGGATTACGGCAACAGAGGTGACGTGGAACCTCTTTACTCTTTGTTATCCGTTCCTGTTCAAAAACATCCAGGTGTGCAATGCCACCTTGTTCCCAAGACCTTTCAGGATAAGTGACCGTATTCTTCTCCTCCGTGTTCTGCCAAGCAACATACTGGAGCTCCATGCCTGGAAGGGTTGCTAAAGTTTTGTATGGTGTGTAATGATCTGGGTTTATGGCATAAGGGAAAAGCTCTACTACAGCTGCACCTCTTGGCAGAAAAAGGGACATAACCAACTGTGCTCCATGCATACTCACAAGCATAGATGCATTACTGATCAAACGCACAATTTCAGCAAATGAATTGTCTTCTAGAGAAACTGTTATTGTTCTCATCTGAAATTCCTGAGCTAAAGCAAGGAGTAATTCAGCCTCATTTACAATAAGTCTATTAATTGATCGAGTGAACAGTACTATGTAGTCTTCTGTTATACTCTGATCGGAACTTATGTTTAGCTTTCCCAATATGAACTTAGCAAAGTGTCTTATTTCATTGCCAGAGACCAATAGGTTTGCCTTCGGACCCTGCGGTTGGACAAAGCCATACTGATACCATGTGGTGATTTTCGTTAGCCCCACATAAGCCTTAGTAAAACAGAGGAGCCTACCTAAAGTCTTCAACTGCTCTTTCAACAAAGGCTGTTTATTGCTCATAAACTTGTAGATGTCAAAGTGTGAGCCTTCACCCCATCCTTCCATGAAGAAGAGTCGAGAGTCCAGGTCTAGGTCTGGAAACTGCTGCATGGTGTAGAATATTGGTAGCAAGTCATCGTGAAAGACATGCATTAGGTTGTCTGGATTAAACCTATTCATTATGAGTGCAACATCTGGCACAAAGACAGGCTTGGGCATAAATTTTAGCGCAGCAGCTGGAAGCTCTACAAAGTTGAAATACTGGGTATTGTGATCATCTACAGAGGACAAGTCTAAAAGAGCAGGTTGGAAGCGCCTAGCTCCTAGGTTTGGTAGCATAATCGATGAGTTGCTATGAAAAAAGACAAATTCTTCAGCTTCGGTGGAGAAACAAAGTGACTCGAAGCGACACACACGGTCTGTATGCATCCTCCCAGTACAAACCATCTTAGTGCCATCTTCCACAAGTGCATATAAAGCTGCTTGATAGTCAATGCGTACTTGCGACAGCTCTTGGGACTGACGGGTGAGGTCCAACTCCTCCTCAATAATAGAAAACTGCTCCCAAAGCTTGACATGTTTCCACAACACTGCTGCCAGGATGGATACAAGCAAAGCATTAAACACTGCAGATATGTTCATTCTGCAGAAATACCACATTGAGATGTCCAAAAAACAGCCTAGCAACAGTGACTGTCATCATTCAGGCAGCTTAACATTGTAAATAGATCTATGGAAGAAGAGGGAAAAAAAAGAATTCAAATTATCAAGGTTTCTTTATTATACCATGCTGATGATTTCAAACAATACATACATGCCATAACCTACTATATATGATGTTAAAAGCAGTGTATAGACTTTTTTTCAATGCTTTTTAGATGTGTAGGAATAATAATAATATAAGTTTTTGTGTGTACAGAGTGTTTTAACATGTCATATCCCAAAATGAAGGAGATTGTATGAGACATGAGAAATATTCCCATTCATTTTAGGATAAGAGATAGAATGAGACATGTGAATACATGTTTCTAAGAAGGCTCTACTGTGCTACGTAGATGTAAAAATGATCATCTTAAATTTTATCCATTTGTGTTATACAGTATGTACATGGGGCAACAAACTTTTTTGTACATTACATATGCATGCTCGGTTTTCTGCTTCACAGTGCTACACAATGGTTGTGCATTAATGTGCCTTCTCACAATGTAAGTCTATGGAATAGCCAACCAATTGAAAATAATACACTCCCTGTGTGCCTATATCTTATCTCAGGTATTAAAGTGGTTGTAAAGGTAAAACATTTTTTTCCTTGAATGCATTCTCCGCATTATGGTAAAAAAAAAACCCCCCAAAAAACAAACAAAAAAAAAAAAACCTTTTGATAGTAGAACATCCCCCAGCCCCCCACCCACATACTCACCTGAGACTGATCTTGATCCAGTGCTGTGCAAGTCTGCAGCTCCTCTCCCCTCTCTCAGATCAGAGGCACTGGCTCCTGCCAGTCAACAGCTGTCAGGAGAGTGGGGCCAAGCCACAGCTGTGTATCTGACTAGACGCAAACAGCCCAGCTTGAGATCGAGTATGCACAAGTGCCTCCAGAGTTAGCGGCTTCTTATGGTGGCACTCAGAAGGGGGGAGGAGCCAGGAGCACTGGCAGGGGACCCCAGAAGAGGATTGGGGCTGCTCTATGCAAAACCATAGCACAGAACAGGTAAGTACAGTAATTCCGCTACTTACGAATGAGTTCAGTTCCAGGAGCTCATTTGCAAGTCCAACTTGCTCGTAAGTCCAACAAAGATCAGTGCTTGCAAACAATGGCTGCGAGCGCCAATCAATGTCCTCTGGCGGGGGAGTCCCCTGTCAAGACACAAAGGCACAGCGGGGGAGATTGCCGCACCAACATTACTTGTGTTGGTACGGCAATCTATCTTTTTTTTTTTTTCGCTCAGCCTGCTGGGTTGTACAAAAAAACCCAGCTACACGATTGAACATGCAAAACACATGTTCCAATCTTTGAAGGTTCGCAAGTGGAACATTCGTATGTAGAGGACTTACTGTATAACCACTTGCGGACAGCCTGCCCGCAATGTAATGGAGACGGGCAGCCACACAAGCAAAGCAATGTGCCCTTACCCCATCAGCTTGTCAGCAAGTCCCGGCCAATGATTAATGCTGGGACCTGCTGATCGGCTGTGTACAATCAACCCAGAGCTCTGTACAGAGGGAACTATCTCGGTTTCTCATTCCTGCGAGGCAAGGATGAGAAACTAAGAGATCGATCAGAGATCTATCAGTAAAAGCAGCACACGTTACACATAGTTAGGCACACATATAAAAAGAAAAGTTTTACAATCAGTTTAGGTGTAACTGCTTCTATTGAAGCTTTCTGTGCCCCCATCCCTCTTGCCAGTCTATGGGCCTGTGTTGATGACAAAAGTTTGACATGTTTCTGACATTGTTCAGAATCTGACAGGTGCATTTGACCTATTTCAAGCAGGTTTACAACACCCCTCTGACATGAACAAAAGTCCATCGACACAACTCCTAGCCACGCATTTATCACACTGGATTTTGGAAGCTTACTTTCACAACCTCTATGTCCATATGGACTGCCCACATATCATTTGCGGCACCACTATGAATTGAGCTACTTTTTTTTCCCTCATAGAATGTCAGGGCCATAAAAGAAGAAAAAAAAAAAAAAAAAAAAAAAAAAGAAGAGGTTTCCCCATGGGATTGTTTCCCCAAATCACAGTTGTCATCAGAACAATAGAGAGGAAATCTTCCATAGGCCACAAAACTGTCTAAAGGCCTCATTCACACAAGGGGTACCTATTCATACACCTGTGCAAAGGGCAGTCTTTATCTGCACATGTGTTTCATGGATTTACATGCAGACAGTCCAATTCATGTTTAATGAGATGCAGCAGCTGCACAGACACAGCTGTTGCTCCCACTTTTACAGTGGCACAGGTCCCTGAATGCACACAATCTGCATTTGGGGACACGCACCAATTTAACTGGAAAAATAGGACCAGCGGTTGTGTTCCAATAGACATGGAGGGGATTGCCTGCATGCGCATGCATGGAATACCTGTGCACCCCATGAGAGCACAGATGGCCCTTGAAACGATGGGTATGCCCATCTAGATGATGCCTAAGAGGGGATTATGCCTCACTTCATGATATGCCTCTGGGATAGGAAAAAAAAAAAAAAAAAAGAGTGAATATCTCCCCAACAGGAGAAAATAAATAAATAAAATGTTGCTTTAATCCATCTTTGTTGCTTTGAATCCCACAGCATAACCAAACTCTAAATTTACATGTAACCTTGCACCAACACTTAAAAGATATCACCCCCCCCCCCCCCTCCCAGAAAATAAAAAAAATATATATATTTACAGCTGTCCTCAGGCGTGGTAGCTGCATTCAGGTTTAATTTCTTCGGGCTTACTTTTCATTATTTGACCTGGTTATCCAGCAGTTACACATTTCCTGTCCCTGGGTGGCTGTGTTCACTTCTCCACTCAGCATGCTCGCCTGATTTAGACCAAAAATAGGTCTTCCTCGATTCATCTCCATTACACTGGAGGAGAGGTATTACAGAAGATATCATTTCCTGCGCTTTCAGTGTAGGTCAAAAGAAGTGACAAAGACACTGCATTTCTGGCAATATCATGTTGTTAGGTTTGGTAGCTGCATTAGTTTTCACGTTCGAGCCAAGGACTGGTAAAGAGCAATATATTACATTTTTGTTTTTGGGTTGAGATATCCTTTAACCAGTTCCCGACCACACTATAGCCAAAAGACGGCTACAGTGTAGTCAGCTAGTTCTGGGAGCCAGAGCCACACCCTCCACACGCCCCCTTGGGGTGTGCACCATGGTTGCTGTGTTCTTTGGACATAGCTTATCACGTGTCCAGGTAAAGGGCCAATCAGAGCCGTCTTTTACCATGTGATCAGCTGTGTCCAATCAAAGCTGATCACAGTGTAATTAGTGGCAGTCCTCTCCTTGTGCTGACAGCAAGTGAGGAGAGGAGAACCAGTGGCATTTCTCAGAGGGGGACATCCACACTGATCAACAGTGCCCTGATGATCAGTGCGGCTAATAGTGCCCATCAGTACTGGCTATTAGTGCCACATATCAGTGCAGCCTCATCATCGAAGGAGAAAAATCACTTACTTACAACAAAACTTTATAGCAGAAACTAAGAAAAACTTTTTTTTTTTTTTTTCCAAAATTTTTGGTCTTTTTTGTTCGTTTAGCAAAAAATAAAAACCACATTGGTGATCAAATACCACCAAAAGAAAGCTCTATTTGTCTCAAAAAAAATGATAAAAATTTATTTTGAGCACAGTGTTGCATGACCACACAATTGTCATTCAAAGTGCATAAGCGCTGAAAGCTGAAAATTGGCCTGTGCAGGAAGGGGGTAAAAGTACCCGGTAGGCAAGTGGTTAAAGAAAAAGGCAGGCCATAGACGGGCTGTTTATCGACTGAATTTTCAGCCGATAAACAAAAAAAAAAAAAAAAAAAAAAAAAATCGGTCGGCCCAGTTGCTGATGCCGCCACCCATGTCCATGAAAAACGGCCGTTTTTTGCGGATTTTCCAGCATGACCGATAAAAATAAATGAGGAGATCCGTGAAAAATGGCCGAGGGGCTGGCCCTACTAACAGCGTGATTATCGGACACAAATTCGGCCGATAAACGACCTGTCTATGGCCTGCATAAGTATACCTTTGGTAATGTGTTACACCCGCATTTAATATGTTACATATAACCTGTTACCAAAGAGCTCCTGCCTGCGATCTTCCAATTCATCACTGTGACAGCGAGAAGGAGATCATCTCACTGCACCCGCTGCAACAATTTAAAAAGAGCGTCATCATGTAGGGCTTCCCCCACACAGTTGCATCATTCATGTCAGTGAATGAACTACAATTACCATCTTCCATGACTGCAGATGACTTGCAGTTCTCAATGAACTGTGAGGGTGCTGGTGATCACTCTCGTAGTTCATTGATATCCCCACTGTCTGCCAATATGGGAGGTACAAGCAGACAGCTATACTAAGATTCTGCAGTATCCTGACATTGCACCCGTGATCTACTGGGTGCAATGCTCTGCAGGCTCCAGAAAAAAAAAAAAGATAAATGTAAAAAAATAAATGCATATTATTTTCTGCAAAAGTATGTGTATTAAGTACTTTTTTTTTTTAAGGCAAACTTAGTCTAAGTGTTGTATGGGGTTACATGTAAATTTAGGGTTTGGTTACATTTTGGGATTCAGGCAATAAAAGGGTTAAGTGTGAGGAGCAGCATAAACTTGCATTCTCACCTGAGCAGAGTGTATTCCCGGTAATTTAGAAGTTTTTTTTTTGTTTTTTTTTTTTAAAGGGGGGTGTGGCATTTGTAAAGCATTTTTTTAAGCTGTGAGGAAGGGTTGTGCGCAAGTGTCAAGCTTTAGGTCTGTGGCAAAGGAAGGTGTAGGGAAAACATTTTACAAAATGCTCAGGTGTGAATTGGTGCCAAGAGGCAGAGGAAATCTTGTCTTCACTCTTGAGCTTTGGCTTCTTCTGGCATTATATATATATTTTTTTTTTCCAGGCCTCCTGCACACGTGAGCTCGGATTTACAAAAAAAAAAACAATTCTGCCT